AACTCATAACGCCAGGTTGAAACACCTTTTCCTAAAAAAACAAAATTCGATTGTGTTTTTTTTTTTTCTCTCTCTCTTTTTCGCTATCTCTCTATCAAGTACGTTGCTTGCATTTAATGTTTCAAACACTACTCAGTAGAGATGTCCGTACTAGCTATGGTTTAATGTTGTCCGAATTTGCCGTAATAACAACAAACGTCAATGTGGTTAATAATATCGATGGACAGAACAACCGGGAAGCTACGAGATTACCTGTTTGAGCTAGATAAATGTGCTCTTCGGAGTGTTAAATGAAAACGTATTTTGGGGATTAAAAGCCATTATTCTTAAGGCTTAGCTTGTGTTGGCTAACAGTTCCCTTTAACTTGAGTTTAATTTTAACAAGCAAAAACGGAAGGATTATTTACCGTTAGCATATGAATACTTATTAATGTTTAATGAAGAAGATGCCACTTCATTGAGCATGGTGACTTGTTTGAGGCAAATTGGGCACCTTTAACTGGCGTTGAAATTTTGCTCATATGGATTCTGTGCCGCATGTTTTATAAAACGTGTTCAACAGAATATGTAGCCCGGCACGACTATTAAATAAACTGCAAAGCGCGAAATGTTGCTTGAACAACCTAGTTTCGAGAATCCTGATAATGATACCTAAACTGCAGACCAATTGACGAGGGAGGAAGTCTTATCGGATAAGTCACATACGTCTTCAGCTTCTAAACGTCTATTTTTCCGCAATATTGATGATATGGGTAGAAAAACGAAGCTAGGTGGTTTTATCTTACTCACTCGGTTTGTAGGCTCATAAACCAGCAGAACCTGTGAAGCGGCCTGTTTTGCTTAAGTTGGGTCAAGTCCCTTAGTTTTTTTTTTTATTATTACTAATTTCGATTATTTTTTCGCCTTTAGTATCATGCAGTTATGCTTGCGAAAGAACGTTCATTGTCTCGCCATAGCGCGTTGTTTTCATGGCTATACTACTACTTAGAAGCGCCTTTGAAGGCCTTCAACGACTGTATTTTGACTTCGCTTTTCTCCCATATTGGAGGGCCAACGAGCGCGTACGCAGGTCTGCCCGACTAACAAAAATTGCACACCGTGCACCCAAATTCTGGGGAACACGCAGGGTTCAGCCTCCGTGAAGTGCAGTGGAGACCGTACCCGGGGAGCACTGCCTTCCTGATCACAGTAGCTCCAGTGCCCTGTAAGTATGAAAATGCTGCGCTTTTCACTGGCTTTTATACCCTGGCAATCACAACAATTTTGTGGGAGATCGTTTGGCACCATATGCTTTTGTAAAAGCCTGTTTTTTGCTCAAAATGGCCCAATAAACTCGGCCGGTGGGTTGTTACGCTGCGTGAGGGAACAGTGCGCATGTGCATTTTGCGCGCAGGTTGCCACTTGGTCACGTGTTCGATATTCCAACTGTGTTTGGGCGACTTTTGTCCACCTGCTTGCGTGTTTTAGTTTTAATTTTCTAAAAGTTATTTTTAGAAAACGTATACCTTTTGTTTCGAGGCATAATTTGAGTATTTGCCTGAATTGTGAATTTTTTCTTTTTTCTTTTTTCTTTCTTTTGTTTTTTTTGCAAATTCATATAGCTCAAGATGCCATGGATATTGTTCGTCTTAGAGTCCACAGCCCTAACAAAAATTTATCATTTTCTTTCTTTACGCCATGGTACCATTCGAACTTAATTTCTGTCAATATTTTGCAGTGACAGCTCTTGTTCACGAAGATTATGAGAACTTTGGTAATTAAACATGCAGCAGAAAATGCAGAAAGAAAGATAAACAATTCAACATGCAAATATCTGTGGTCTTGGAACTAATTTGTCCTGAATGACAAATTTTGACCACGATTTTTTAATTTTTATTTTACAAAAAGGAGGAAGAGAAATCTAGACGACATAGAATTTTATGTCAGTAATTGCAGCCTATCTATGAATTTTGATCAGCAGTTCGTTAAATTTTACAAAAGGAACCTGGCTTTGAACTTTACTATAAGTCGAAACTTATAAAGAGATACGGGACATAAACTTAGGGCACGTAAATTATTCAACTACATTTTCGACTGAGAATGGGTCATTTCAAGAAAGGACAGTTATTTTTCTCAGCCTTACGGATCATTTCATATGTTTTGCGACTCTCCCAAGATATCCATCTCAACTTTTGAATATGGTATTCACGTTAACGAGGTTGGAGGGACTAACTCCAATGCAGAGGGCTCCGTATATTCACGCTCCAACTGATCTGTAAGAAACACATATTCTTATTGTCAACGTTCAACCTAGATTTCAATTTTAGTTTTGCACTGTTGGCGAGATTAATCGATGTAATAACTTCATGGCGAATTGAAATAAAGGTGCACAACTGAAAAAGTCATTCAAAATGGTATTTTATCTTTTTTCAGTTTTGGTACAAGGTACAAAAAGAGCAGAAAACATATCGACAAGAATTTCTCGTCCTGATGTAGTAATCAATTCTCAGGAAAAAAAAATGGGAAAATGTATGGTAGTCGGTATGGAGATTTTTCAAAGCATTCGCGCTGGAAAGCTATGTTTGGGCCGTGTAACACAAGGAAAGGCATGCGAATTCCTGATGTTTGATCTCCAACAGTCATTTGAAGACTTGGTAGTTTGTTTCCCTTCAGATGCTCTTGGCTGCCGTCTTCGAGCACCAAGCAGCAAGTGCTATTTGAAACAAAAGAAAACAACTAAGATTGCTATCATTGTCCATCGCTGAACCCTCGATTCTTTTGGTCAGCGGTACGCAGAACAACGTTACTTTTCACATCACTTTAGCGGATAGCTAGCGATTGGGTCTAGTTTGGTGGCCTGCTGGAAAAACTGTCTTCTTTGACTTCCAGTGAGTAAAGAGAGACCGTAATTCTCGTGACTGCGTCAAATTCAGGAAACAGAGTGCGGAATCGTGGTTGAAGGCAAGGAAGCAACGGTGCGGTTAAAGGAAAAAACAAACGTTAAACAAACTGAAATATATGCATGAGCAAGCTGCCAACTGAGGAAACGTTTTGTTTCAGGCCCCGTCCACGCTACGCCGTAAAAATTTAAAAACGCAGCTTTATTTCTACGGTTAGGCCTACGGTCCAGAGTAATCCGTCACGAAAACGGAGCTTTCCGAAAACGCTCTTCAAACCGAAGGACTTTGAAAACGCCGGGTTTTCGTTTTAGTGTGAACGGAAACATTTTGAAAACGGACACACTAAGCGGGAGAAATTTGAAAACGGCGCTAAATGTTTTCCTCCCACACTACGCCAGAAAAAATTTGAAAACGCAACAATCACAGATCATTTCGGATTTGTGTTTGAGAAAAACTCAGGCAGGGAAATCACGTGATTGTCGTGATGTCATCGTTTTGGAAAAAGTAGACGAGGCCTAATACTGTCTAATCCGCGTGACAACTGAACACACAAAGGCGCCCGAGGCGCGCAAAGAAAACGCCTCGTGTTCTACCCTTTGCGTATTAACGTGCTTTCAAATACTTTGCACGGTCGCCTTTCTGCGCGTGTTTCTTTCTTACCAACGATGTGCCGTTGTGATTTCTAAATGAAATTAGGTGGAAAAAAGCATGTTAAACATGGAATGCGTTAACCTCCTACTGTAAAAGATTATTCTTCGGAATAGAATCAATCAGCTTTAATCGTCATTCGATCTAGAACCATCAACTTTAAAACTGAAAAAGCACTTTACTAATTATCCTATGTCATTGTGAAATTTAAACCCGTCTACTCTATCTAAATAAAACAATCTCTTGTTCAAATAGAAACGGTAAACCCACCACTACCTCTTATAAACCTTGATTTTCATTGGTCCCTTGAATTAAGTGCCATGCATGATCGTCTTTTTAGCAAGAGATAATTTTGGAGATATGTTATCTTAGTATTGCCTGAAAGGTCCCATCGCGTCGCTTTCTCGTAGCACGAAAAACAAATAGTGCAGCACCATAATATTTGAACTTCTAACGTATGTATTACTTTGGTCTGTACCTTTAATAACTGGAGACGTTGTATCTAGCTAGGACGATCTTAACAATGCAAAACTTTTAATGTGTGAAACATTATGAGGTACTGCGACATTGCTAACCCGAAAGAAACCTCCTCAGCTGAATTCGAAGTATCGTGATTTCTATTACAGGAGTACGTTTTATGTTAACATTGCTGCTAAAGTGGACGTTGCGTAACTTATACGAGGTGTTAGTTTAGTCTTTTTGGTTTGAACATGACCACAAAGGGAAGAGCAAATGGAAAATTAAGGCTTCTTGGTTCTTGCGATGCAGAAAAGAGTACTCTTGGCACTTTTTCAAGGGAACTTCACCATTTTCTCCAAAGACCAGACATTTTGGATAGAGCGAAGAAAGAAAAGATATTCAACGGAGTGTCTTTTCGACACCGTGAGCGAATCCTCCGAACTCATTGAGCCTGCGTAAAATGGGACATGCTCTACAAATGCCCTCCCATTGGACAACAGGGAGGTCTTAATGACAGCAAGTGAACATCCCACAATAGAGTGCTTTGAACACGGCTATAAAAGTAGGACATTTGAGGAGTTGTGCCATACTTACAATGCACAGGAGCAACTGTGATCAAGAAGGCAGTGCTCCCGGAGCGAGGCCAACTCACCACGCACAAACAGGCTGAGCTTCGCGTGTTTCCCACGCGAGTGGGTGGCGCGGTGTTCAATTTTTGTTAGTCGGGCTGACCTGCGTTCGCGCTTGTGGCCCTACAGAAAACCCTCAAATCAGGAGAAAACCGTAACAATACAGTTGAAGTTATGCGTTTGATATCGTTGGTTAATAACTTCACTTGCATGAGGCGCTTTATCGGCGATTTGCTGAGCGCCTGAGTGCTGTAATCATCAACATAAACGTGGCAACCTTTCCTGATTGCAATTCACAATGATCAGTCAGTTGCCACAAAAAAATTACAGCGTCGGCAGGTTTTAAGATTACTTGTGAATGAATTTACACTAGGATACAGCAGATTGCTTTCAATTCTTCACGCCATGATACCCGGTGAATAGAAACCGCATATAATTGCCTTACAGTGATTATACTAAGGTATAATAGCTGGGATTGCAGGATATGTAGCTTCTATTTACTGCCTCGATTTTAATATCATCATCTATTCTCTAAACCATTCCAGAAAATATGCACAATGAATTTGTCTGTTTGCAATGAAGTGATATACAAAGATATATAAACCAAAGAAATCCATTTACAATAACTAGAATTAATAAATACAGAACAATAACTAGCAATTTTTCTTCATTATAACGTGTGCTTGGAAATTAAATGTTTTATCCCTAGCTTTCTTCAGCAGTTTTCTGTATCGTTAGATACCGCCGACGATCTGATTCCAATGACGGGCAAAGAAAGCCTAAAAATCAATCTCAATAAAATTCCAGTTGTCTTGGGTGACGGCTGAATTGAAGTTCATTTTTTATTATTCCATTTTCTGTCGTTCTTGTGTTTGTTCAGCTGAAATAGAAGGCAATTTGACTTTTAAACTTTATTAATGAAAGAAAGCTCGACTTTCTAGCAGGAATACATTCTATCCCCATTCCCGAATAGGCAGCAAGTGTCATTTGGTACGGTTGTTGGTATTTCAAATACCAAGTATCAAGACGTTATCAAGTATTCGAAAAAATAAAACAAATTAATATCATGAAACGCCCCACACAGCAGGTTATAATAACGCAAATGTATTTTTAATAAGTAAAGTAATCAATCTGTAGTATACAGAGATTTTTTTATTTTATGCGTGCGCTGTAAACAGAAAATACAAGTGACAAGTGGGATAATCCATGGTATTGCACGACAGAGCGACAATCAATGCGACACAATCAATGCGACATACGCGCGTCGCACGATGGGAAGGTTAGGTGTGATACCGTCGAATATACAACGGCTTTCCTGTATTCTGATTAGCTGTATTTTCTATGGCGTGGTATAAATGGACATATCGTATTTTATTAGCTTTACTTATTCAAAACCCTCCCCTGAGCCTTCAGTGAAGTTCACTGATGAACTTTCCAATTCTCCCAAACTGTTTTTCGTGTTTGCGCTAATATAATTAGGTGACATGACCGCATCTGTTCCAGGCCTCTTCCTCTAAAGTCAGACTGAGGGAACAAGCACATGAGAACTGGGAATGAGGTTGACGGACCTGACATCATGACTTCGAGCCATTTTCCTAACAACCAGTGTCCTTATCGATGGAAGTTGCATTAATAATACTTGGATGTTCCCTAATTCTGCATGTGTGACCAAGGGCCCGTTGCTCGAAGGTCCTGAAGAGTTTTGGCACCCGGAAAGCTGTATGATTACAGAGCTGTTTTATTCACATGTTTACGAACAGAGGCTCCCTACATACAAGAAGTTTCAGGCGTATACACTTCTCTGTTTTTTGATACAGATTAACGAAAAATGGCTTTGCGGGCCCGAAAAGTTTCCGGGGCTATCGAGAAACGCGCTTCTGGTTGGTAAGGCGGTACGTTTGCTGGATTTGATTCACGAAACTGCTCAAGTATTAAACAGCTAGCATATGATGACTAAACTTAAATCAAAATTTTCAATTAAACGACTTTTGTTTTAGCTTTCAGCGGAAATTAACTCCCAATGTAAATTGAGGAAGTGGATGAAGCAAAGCTTATTTCACCTGCTGCGAGTTTGACAATGACGTGTTGAGATAGGAGGAAAAGCCAAAACAAACTTCGTGACAGTTGTTATTACAGTTTATTAAAACGAAGACAACTCTTCACGTTCTATCTAAACTGGACCGGAAAAGACGATTTATCCAGTCGTAAAGGAGCATTTGTTCTTTGTATAATAAAGGCTTTTAATATAGACTCAGGTAAGTTAGATCTAGCAATTTCAACTTCATTACGCTGTTATTAAAATGAAAAAACAGAAATTTTTCTTTTCCTTCCTTGCTCCGTAATACCGTTTGATTGAAATTTAACGGGAGGACTCTTAACACATGTACACTGTACTTCTCCCTCAAATACGCTATCAGTTTCTTCATTTAATTTTCGTTCATCAAAGCCGGATACTTGATGGGGTTCTTCTCTGCTGGCGGGCAGTGAGACCTTTTCAGAGTAATTCACTTCGTCCTGAAAGCGAACGAGTGAAGTCTTTTTCTTCTTTGGGCAGAAACCGTTACTAAGGTTTTCAGAATTGTCTGTACAAGTCCTTCTTAATATCCCACCCGGGTTTGTACTAGACGTTTTCCTGAGGATAACTTGTTTTTCTTTAGCTTCAGCGTTTTCTGTAGTCACCTCGTCTTCGAAGTATACTACAGAAGTTTTCTTTTTTGGTATCTTAACACAGTTTTCCTCTAGTTCTGGTGCAGTATCAGTTTTTGTTTCCATTCCTGTGTTTTCTTTATGTTCGAGCTCGGGATAGCCGTCGAGTGCGTCGGCAAATCGAGCCTCTGACATCTGTGATTCCTCTTCCTCATTGGTTGCCTCGCTTCCATTCACATCACGTGACGAGTCGCAATTTGCCCACAGACCTTCCCACGATTCGTCTTCGTTTGGAGTTATTGAGTTCTGTCGATTACGCATGCTCTGCTCGCTAAGGTTGCTGGACTGTGTGGCAGTGGGCGAGGGCGTGATGACTCCAAGTGTCATTGAGCTGACTGATGGCCGCATTGGAATGTTTTTGTGTGGTCGAAATAGAATGATATAAATTTTTGGTGCGAAGATGCTAGCCCAGGTTAGCGTGCCAAGAAAAATGAACATAAAACTTGAGATGACTGTCCGATACCAAGCGGACGTACCCATGTAAGATGGTATATAGACAAGAACGGTGATACATATGGTGGTCATGTTAAATGCGATTAGTCTTGACTCGTTATAATTCTGTGGAACCTTACGCACGAGGAAAGCTTGATACGTACACACAACGACTAGACCTGCGTTGTAAATGAGCCACAAAGAAAATCCGATTTGACTTCCACCAAGATTGCACACAAGCGAGGCTTCCTTGGCAGTTTGAGAATAAATGACTTCCGGGAAGACTGGAGTCGAAGAACCAAACACCCATACAACCGAAAGCGCGAGCTCGGTGGTCAGCAGACTTGCTAGTATTAACAGCTGCCAGTGGTTGTCAAGGCAATTGATGGTCCCTGTTCGGAGAAGCTTTTCGTTGAAAATCCTGGATACTCGATTTGTTCTGATGAGGATACTGCCTGAAAAAGTTTTAAAATAAGTTTTATTAACCCTCAAACGCACAAGCTAACTCATACTCCCATCGTGGTGCAAGAGGGGGGGAGGGGGGGGGGCAACAGACGGATGGAACCTCTCCCCTGGGTTTTTGTTAGGGAACAGCGAATTAAATTTACATTGATTAGATGGCCCTAGGATTGCTCTACAAGATGATACCATTTTTGTTGGTTATGCATTACACAAGAAAACCGCCCTTCACTGTATCAGAGTCCGGGCCTTCTTGACACATTCCTAGTGGAGCATTGTATTTTTAGATGCGGATTCAGTGCTACTTACCACGTTTTAAGCTCTTCCCAAAGATGATGTTGACGATATTTTACAATAAAAATGCTTTTGATCTGTCCTTATTAAGGAGCTGATTCAGCAATTTAAATACCTCTGTATTGTATTTGGCTGGCTTGATAGAAAACCTATCAATACTACATAATGAAAAAACAATGGCCGACGTGAAAGCGTACAAAAACAGGTTAACCGTCAAACAAAAGTCTATTTATAATCTCTATCTCCTGCACTAGAGTTTTAGGATTTTAAAATTTTTTCACGAGCATTAAAGGTACAATTAGCGTCAATGATGTTTATTTTTGTCCGCCGGAGACGAAAGCTAAAATTAAGACGTTGATGTACTTACCAACCACCAACACAAAGCAGAGTCCAAACATGAAGGGAAGAAGTTTACAAGAGGCTGCAGAAGGCTTGGCAATATACGGAAGGGGTGTAACATAAAACATGGCAATTCCCAGAAGAAGAAAGTAACATAGTTGTCTGCTAGCAGCCCGGACAATCGCTGTTCCTCGAAATTTAATAAAGATGACGCCGGTGCAGACAACCATAGCAAAACCAAATGATGATAGAAAGACAATCACAACAGCCCAGCTCTCGCTCCAATGGAGGTAACTCGCTTCGATGGGACTGCATCCTGAGTGGTCAGCGGTGGGCCATGTTCCTGTTGGGCAGTCAGTGCACTGGGTCACGTGTGACGTGTTGGCGAAGGATTTCCCGCCACACTTTGTGCAGTCCCAGCAGCATTCTGGGAACTGTGATTTTGGAATCTTATACTCGCCTAGAAATTAAAAACACAGGTAAAATTGTTTTGTATTGTAATTTTTTTTTAAATGAGCGCTATTTTAATTGCCAAGCTTTAGGAAAATGGATGTAGCTAGCAAAAATATAAACATCATCAATTGGTCTAGCTATACCCGAAGAGCTGAAGTTGAATATAAACGTACAGAAAGCGTGCGGGCGCTCTCACTTTTCGTTTTCCACCAGAAAATTCAGTAAGACTTGTGCAAGCACAAATAGAATTTCATGATCATTTGAGAAATCGGCTAGCCAACAGTCAAATTTAGTTTTCGGAAATTATTGGCATCAAGCCAAAAAAGCAATAAAATATTATTTTGATTTTAGGCCATGTTAAACATCAAGGGACTATGATCTATCATAGTCCGGCTTGATAGCCTTCATTGACCTAACGAAAAACAAAGTGGGGATTAGTCTGTTGCCACGTGGTCTAACCAAGCAATTACCAACCATTAACCAGTTAATGGTTAAAGTGACTATGGCTTCTAGATTATTCTGCAGAAATGAAGTTAAAACCATACCTTTCTTGCAATCATTACTGCAAATCGAGCCTGGAATTTCAAAACTGGTTCCGTGCTCTGAAATCCCTGACAAGTTGAGAGAAGATTCATTCCACGAACCCACTTTGGCATATCTCAAGTTTCCTTTGCGCAGGTAATAAATATCATATTGTCCTCTTGTGCTGCCCTCTTCGTTGAAGAAAAAGTCCTGTCGCGAATACCCGGGAAAAGACACATTTTTAATAAACTTCGAAAGATCCCTGATGTCAACGTCGCTCCATTTCTTTGCGCAGGCGCTTGCGCTGCAGTTCAGCATTGCATGAAGCGCATGCGCTACTGAAAATACCGCATCTATGACATACGGGACATAACCATCGTGGTGTACCCCTGAGTAACACTGCGAAACATTCCCTTCGTCGCAATTTAAGGTCTTTTTGCACTCATGTGCCCATGGATTGACGCTGTTGTTTTTGAGGAGGCTCTCCATGGAATAGGAATCAAACGTTGGCATGGAGATAATTGGGGGTCTTAATCCAATAATTGAGTGAAAAACGTCACCGGCACCTTGGACGACCTCTGTAGACCCAACCCAGCTGTCTGACGCAATAAACATGTAATTCGTCAGAGACTCCTTTTTTGCTTCGTTGAAAAAGTACACCGCGTCCGGAAATTCGGCGTACAAGATTATCACCCTCGCTTGGGAAAACTGTTTGATTTTCTGGAGGATAGTGTCCATTTCCTCCCTACCTCCTTTTCGTGAGAATAGCTCGTCGACCACGACACATATCTGTCGCGTTGAGTGATTCTGAATTATTTGTTTCAAGGCGGTTATTCCCGATCTACCGTATTCGTTATCAGAGGCCAGTACAACGACCAAGTGCCACTTTAATGCCACAAGCAGATCTGTCACTGCCTGCGCCTGGAGGTTGTCCGAAGGAACTGTGCGGTAGAAGTAAAGGAACCGAGACCTGTCGCTAAGGAGACGACTCGTCGAAGCATAACTAATCACCGGCACGTGGAAAAGGCCTGTAAGACTTGCTGTTGCCATGGAAACGCCACTGAAGGCTGCTCCAACGATGGCTGCTGTACGAGATTTACTTGAACAACAATCTAAAATGGAGAAAAAGATTTGTCTTTGATAAAGAACTGTAAGATACACCAACTACAAAAAGAAGAAAGATTATTTCATTTCGTGCTTTTAAACAATTTTCTTGTATTGAATTTCTCGGCGAGAATTCCAAGTTATTATATTTTGCCAATAGAGTTTAAAGCAAAAATATGCAAGCCCGAACTGGAGCCAAACGCTGGAAAACAAGAGCGAATGACAACGAGACTAGTTTTTGGTGAGTGTTTTCAGGACTCTTGCGCGGTCTTATCAATTTAACCTGGTCAGGGTTTCGTTACCCTGTGAGACAGAGATTCACTTTTTTTTCTGCTTTTTTTTTCTGAAAAGCAAGGGAATCTCTGTTACGTAGGGTACGCTTCCTTTACGTCGCCTAATGTTTAAAATGTTAGGAACCCCACGTAGAGATCTTTTTAAAACTTCGCCAAACGTTGCCTCTTATCTTGCTTATCAAAATTTGATAATACAAAAAAATTTCACCCTGTCGTTTTTGAATTATAAGTCCCTAAAGCTATAAATAAGGGTGTTTTTAGCAGTTCATAATGTTGCTATGGTAACCTATTGTGTCACGAAAATGGTAATATCGTGTTCACCAATGATTGGACAATTTTTTTTTTATCGTTGCAGCATCAATTCATTGATAAAGAGTGACGGTTACGATGATCCATCAAAATCTAAGTCTTGGAAGGTGTTGGAAACTGTTTTGAACCACCTTAAGGTCAAGGGAAGGTCTCGCTCACTTGACAGGCAGATGATGCGAATTAACTCGCTGTAAAAACCCTCTCAATCATTTCATTTCTTATATATCCGTCAATTCAACTGCATGACTCAGTCGCGGAGTGGTCGTTAATAAAACAGGATTTTTGTTGATGGAAAAAGAGTTTGATACACTAGAGCTCAGCAAAAGAGCGCTCTATTAAATTGACTTGTCCAAGAGATTAGAACACTGCCTAGAGTATTCCGTATAGCGTTTTACATCGATTGTCTTCGATTAAAATCTCTCAGTTTGTTACTAAGAACTTCAGGGTCCTTTAGTATTGATATATACTACGCAGAGCTGATATTCTGGAATACAACTTCAAGGCTGCAAATATCTACATAACAATGCAATAATATTGATTGTTTTTCTGACAATGTGGCCTTTAATTCAAGAGGAACTGACACAGACTTCAGTCGACATGACAATCGTATTCTTTGTTTAGTTCCTTCGACGCCTAAAGCAGCCGGAACATGAATGATTGCTCTTTAATGAGCTGTAAAGATCAGGCGTCTGTGGAAGTTTGAATTTGGAATAATTCCTCTTACTTCGACTGTGACCCGTGAGGCAGTCGATATAGCAGTTATTACTTCCTGGTTATTTTCATATCTACGGGTCAATGTTCCTCCAATTCTTTTCCTTTCAGATGTCCTCATGCACTCCATACGCGAGAACTATAGCTAGCCTAGTTAAAATGATGCTTTGCTTTAAAATATTTGCTTTGCAGCTCTAAAAAATCGGTCTAACTAATGACTGAAATATTATGTTTTTCGCGCGATAAGGTTGTTAAATATTTTCCTTCGATGAATTTATCCTTTGAAAAACGATTTCTCGCATTTTATTTTCACGGATCAGTTCAACATAGGACACGAGTTTTCATTTTTTCATTTAAAACCTGAAGGAAATTAAGTCTTTAACAGCCACAGCTGCTTATGGAGCATTTCTTTTTAAAAGAAAATTAAGGCGACCGCATGTCTGTCAATCGCTTAATTGCTTGTATTTTAACTAAGTTTTAAATGTCTTTCCATAGACAGAAAAAAAAATTGATTCAGTTCAAAGCAAAAACAGGCATTTACCACTGGTCTGAATTTTTTAAGCGCGCTGGTGGTGTTTAAACAAAGGCATACAGAGTATTTGAAGGCCACAATTGAAACCTGTTTCGGTTGGTTTGAAATACGGCGCGCGTGAATCTTGAAATAAATTTCGAGAACTTTCATTCGGGCTCACGATTCAGCCCAAAAAACGAAAAGTTTTCCTGGGTACTTTGATTTCTTTGCCTTCATAGCTATGATGAGAAGGTAGAGGATCTTTTTGTATTGCATGCATGATTGCTAAAGTGTCGTGAAGACATGTTAAATTCTCTGTGTTTACACAGGTTGTTGTTAGCGAGAAGTACGAGTGAAAACATACGCGTGAAAACAACGAAATTTTTAAGATCACTTTAAAAATGTTAAGCTGTAAAATTCAAGAGATTTAAATTAATTTATAAACAAAAGTTTTACTTTCTTCTACGGAAAAATTATTTTATTGGTTCTAAAAATATCAACAAGAGACTTAAATAGATATTTATTTCTGGAGCAGAAGAAGTTTCATTTTATACGACGCCTTTAAAAGCTGGGCAGACTTTTCTCGTATCTACTGCGAAGATTTACGCGAAGAAACCGTTTGAAGGCACAGTGTTCACCCCCTAACTATGATATCAATATTAAATCGGCGACGGAAGTAACATTTTCACTGCGGCAAAAAAGTTTAAATTAAATCTGTTTTGAATAACAAACCATCCCACGAAATGACATTGAAACCTGGACAGTTTAAAAGCGTTGTCATTCTGCCATAATAAATTTTTCCAACCGTAGGTGGAGTTGGCGAAGATAATATAATTAAGGAAGCTGTAAGCTTGGCCGGGAAATCCACGTTAATATTGGACCACGCTTAAAAACTAAAATTTGACGTAATTTATGTAGTGTGTCTTTGCGGTGAGTATCGAGTTGCGGTAAAAAAACTTTTCCGTCTTAAAGAGGTTCGTGGTGAATGAAAACTGAAAAGCTTTCCTTTATTACAAAATTAAAGGCTCGATACTAGGCTGTATTGGTCTGTATTCTTCGGATAAAACTGCAATGATATGAAGAAATAAGTAAAGTAGATAAAGTCAGCTTTTTTATGTCAAAGCTGACGGCTCGCTCCGCACGCCGACGAAGAAAAGGGTGCTCTCCGTCGACCATTTTTGTTTCGCTGATTGCCAATCTGATTTCAAGCGACAGAATTTAGCGTTATCTAGAATTTGGCAAATATGATCCTTGCTACGAAAGACATATAGCTCCTGAATTAAGCCGAGTGGAACTAGAAACCGTGTTTGTGTACACAACTTTGGAAATATTGTTTTTGGTTTTTTTCGCACGGAAAACGTGAAATAGCATAAATGGCTACCGGAAACGTCTCGTTGGATATTTCCTAAAAGCATTATGCTTTAGCTGTGTTGCAGTTAAAGCAAAGAACATTTAGGCGGCCTTTAATAGTGCTGAAACTACTGAACTCGACAAAACCTGCTATTTAACGTGAATATAAAGCAAATAGTCCGAATGGTTGACATAAGTACTGCCGTTTGCGACGCTTAACTAAAAAAACAGTGAATTGAACTTGAGCTGTGGAGAAAATAGCCAAACCGAGAGCAACAAATGAATTGACATAGGATTAAAATGCTTGCAACAATATGATACTGAATGTCTCGCTCAGAATAACAGAATCCCAATCAATGCGACCTGGAGGACCGAAATATTCTTTGTTCAAGAGATTTTAAGCTACATTCATTAAACATACCTAACACATTGCTATCTCCTCTCGGTGTTGAAGATTGTGAGTGCAAGTCTGGTCCGTTCTTGATTTGACTTTGATGTAATATTTTCTTGTCCCCGGCGGATGTTTCCATGCAGTCTACTGATTCGGAGGCGACGTATGCGCTCCTAATAAAGTCAAAGTTTAAAGTCTCCATGATAGCATAGTCGACACTGCCACATGTATCTTTTATATCAACGCCGAGGGTCACGTTGGGAAGCAATGCGGTGTCGTTGTTTATAAGTTCCACCGCATACAACATGGCCTCTACCCCTTTGAATCCCCGCAAATGGAAGTCGCCGCGACAGGAAGAATTCCCAGGATGGGGCGCAAAATTTGGCGAAAAATGAACAGGAATTAGTCCACCAATGACAACATCGCCCGCAGTGACAAGTCCTGTTCGATACTTCGAACGCCGAGTAGCAGAGACGACAACGAGAAAGGAGTACACGATGTATAACTTCATCACTGATTAGAGGAAGATTCTGCGAAGAAAAAAAGCACTTTATAGTTCAAGTTCAAATGCGCCAGTCCCGGCTGGAGTTTTCCCCGTGCGCCGCGCGCGTAACATGAAGTTCTAGTTTGATAGTAGCGAGAATCTGGTGAGAATCTGCTGGTGAAGAAATTGACAAATCATCAAGTAATCGATGGGAGTGTCTTCTGACACCTCTAGTTTTTGTTTGTTTATGACATGGCATGAGAAAACTGAAAAGAGATATCATGAACGTTGGTGTGGTCTTTTCGCTATAATTAAACCACATCACCTGCTGCGCGTGGGATATGCGCTTGCGCGTTGGACTCGTTTAAGCCTGCTGCATGTCTTTTCTTCAGTGCTGCTCGTTTTTAAAAATGTCGTCAGCAAGAAGCTCTAGGAGCTTCTAGGGGAGGCACCAAGAAAGTTGGAATATTTTTCTCCAGAGTCCCTCTCCTAAAGGCTATTTTTCTCCGGCGGTTTGGCGGTTTTACGCCAATTTTCAGTGCCGGTTTACGGGTACATTCGAATTTATCTGGCGGTTTACGGTTAAGAAATTATTGCGCAGATGCGGGAAATCATCAATTTAGCTCAAAAGAAAACCCTCAAAACTTGTACTTTAACGCCTTGTTATAAACATCTCGAGCAATCTTTGTGTTTGTGAACAGCCCATAAGACGTCAAAAAATCTGTTGGCTGGTACCTGAATGGAGTTAGAAGCAATTTCAGTGTTCTGTCTAAGATCTTGTAGCCTTTGTGAAAAAATATGATTACTAAGCTAAAATATCGTAAAGAATTTGTTACGAACTGTGAAAAGATCCGTTACGTTGATAATCGTTCTACTAGTAGGGCGGTTTCGGTTTTTATTAGATGTGCCATCCCCTATAATAGTCCCTACTCGTTCATCGTCCTCGCATTCTGATAATGTTAGTGGTAATGGGTGATACTGTAACGAGTAGTAAAATTTTTTCCTCCGCCAACGGTTAAGAGATGTAAGGTCGGCTTCTCAAATTTCGTAACATATGTTTTATAGCGTGGAACGCAAGCATGAAAACGACAAATAATTACTTTAATCTAGTGAAGTGTCACTGGTAAATAAACACAGAACGGTGAAAGGAGGGGCCAACGTCGAGATCTATAAACAATATACTACCTTGAGCCAATAGCTGACGCATGGCACTTGTCGCGTACGTATCAAGGTAATTCCTCTGAAATAAAAGTGACAATAGATTTTTGTTCAAACTTTGTCCACTGAATATTTGTTATATGATAACTTCAATTTTGAAATAAAAAAGAGGGGTGCCCATGCTCATTAAGGGGCAGTGAGGCATTGAAAATACCCCATTTTGGCATTATTTAATGCTTTTTATAAGAACGCATTCCCAGTAATTGTAAAATCTTTGTGAACCCAGACTCATAAGAACACGCAATAACCAAAGTCAATACATTGTGTCGGACACAAATAAACATTTTAAGTTTGATTCAGGCAGAAAGTTAAATCCTTGATTAAAAATTTGAACCAAATTTCTTGACGTG